GCAAATCATTAAACTTCTTCATTGTTTTACAGAAGCTTGGAAGATGAGGGGGGAAAACTCATTTAAGACCTTCTTTTGCTTTGGAATGGATCCATGTAACAAGCTGATGTTGCTTCCTAACTCTCTACAGACTTCAGTCACATGTCTTTGCTTGGCCATATTATTTTTTTTCCTTCCAAGGTGTTTTCAGCAAGTTGCATTTACCATAGTACCATCTGTCAATAGTCTCTATATCCATAATGAAGTGCTTCACCTAAAGACCATCTAACTAGGTTAGTCCCAGTATTATTGATGCTCTGTTTGTCACACCTAGATGGCCCTTTCTCTTCCTGTTTAAGATTTCATTATTCCTGATATCTCTAGTTTGGTTCCAGGCAACAAATTTCCTTCTCACATTCATCAGATTCTTCCCAGTTGCACCCCCAGAGTTGCCAGATCCATTATAGCCCTTATCTATCTCTCCCCGGCTATGTTACCTAGTTTCCCATTACCTCTCTGATCTTACCGACAGAGGCCTTGTAAAAATCCATAATGAGAACAGTCAAATACCATTTATGGGGACCCACCATAAGGTCACAAAGTAGTAAACAAATGTTTGAGTTGTCCAAATGTCTTCATCAGGACAGATGTTGAGGGGAAGAAGAAAAAGTTGCAAAGCTGAAAAAAGTATAGAAAGGAGTTGGAACACCTTTCGTATGAGAGAAAAGGCAGAAGATTATGGGACATTTAGTTTAGAAAAAAAGACAGATAAGGGGGGGAAGACATGTTCAAGGTTTATAAAATTATGTGTTAGGTAGAGAAAGTGAATAGAGAAAACTTTTTTCTCCCTTTCCCTTAATAGTAGAACTTGGGCCACCCAATGAAGCTGATGGACAAATGGACAGACAAAAGAAAATACTTTTTAACTCAGTGAGTAATTAAATTGTGGCATTCACCTTCAGTGGATATAGTGATGGCTGTGTGCATGCAGGACTTGGATTAGACAGATTCATGGAGGAGAGGTCCATCAATGGCAACTGGTCATAGTGATGAAAAGGAACCTCCACATTCAGATGCAGAAGACCTCTGAAACCCAATGCTAAGAGCTGGCATCCAGGAAAGGCCTTTGCCTTTGGCCTATTTGTTGGTGATCCAGGGCAAAAGGTTTGGGTGTTGCATGAAACAGAATTCTGAACTAGATGGATTGCTGGTCTGATCCAGAAAAACCCTCCTTTTATTCTTAAAATGTTACAGAGCTCAGTTGAAAAGCTGTCCTGGTCCGGTGGCCTCGGGACAAGGACCCTACCCCCCAGGGATGCCCCGATTAGGGTACTCACCTGGGGAACAGCAGAGGAGCAAGGCAGCAACGACACCACAATGACCGACAGGGCCACAGTGCGACGCCTCCCCATGGGAATCCCCAGAAGAAACTACTGGCACTGACCCAGGGAGAAGCGGCCACACTGGCAAAGCATGGCCCCTCGGTCGGGCCCCTCAGAGCTCTATCCCGGGAAGCAGCAAGGCAGAGGCCGCTAAGGGAGGGCTGAAGGCGGGCACAATGGGGAAGCTATGCCACGGCACCAGTGGCATGGTCCCCAGGCCAACAGGACCACCGCCGGCACACCCACAACTACGCCCAGGATGACCAGAAGGCATCCGGGCTTATTGGGGGGGGGGGCAGACTGGGAATAGGGGAGGTGGGGATTACAGGTGGCTCTGGGAGTGGGGCAGGGGATAAAAGTAGAGAGAAGTGGATGGGCTGGGGAGGAGGAAAGTGTGAAGGAACGAAACGGACAGAAAGAGAGAGAGAGAGAGAGAGAGACGGGACCAACAGTGTTCAGCGCACACTGGCAGAGGGTGACCATAACCCCGTCCCCTGTCTATCTGAGGCCCCTCCACAACCTCCTCCTTTACGAACCCTCTCCAACTCCCAGGGCTGATGCCACGGCCATGGGCGGGTCGACTCCAGGGCCATAAACAAAGCTTGACAAAAGCCTAGGGTTGCCAGCCTCCAAGTGGGGCCTGGGAATCTCCCGCTTTTACAACTGATCTCTGGCTGATAGAGATCAACTCCCCTGGAGAAAATGGCTGCTTTGAATGGTGGACTCTATGGTATTGTACCAAGCTGAGGCCCCTCCCCAAACCCCATCCTCTCCTGGATCCACCCCCAATGTCTCCAGGTATTTTCCAACCCAGACTTGGCAACCATAGAAAAGCCCCAAATCCACAGCCTGTTGAGATCTTAAAATAGAGTAGCAGACTTCCTAACCAGTGTCACACACTTCTAATGCCCTTATGTTCAATAGACATACAAGGGTGCAACTCTGTTTAGGATTGCACCATTAATTGAATCAGATGCTGCTGCTCATCATCCTTCCCCAGCTATGTTTCCAGTTCTCCTCTCTACACAACACACTATCAATTAATGGAATTTACTGGCATATGATGTGTTGACTAGCACAACCTTTGAAAGTGATCTCCAAAGAAGAGCTGGCATGGCTTAGTGGATAGAATGTGAGACTAGGATCCTGGGAGACCTGGGTTTGAATCCCTACTTCTACCATGGAAGCTTCTGGGTAACCTTGGGCCTGTCACAAACTCTTAGACTGGCCTACCTCACAGGGTTATTGTGAGAAAGTGTAGGAGGGAGAAAAATGTTCTAAAAAGCTGCTTTGAGTCCCAACTGGGGAGAAAAGCAGGATACAAATAAATAAAAGCAAATGCAAGCATCTCAGTTGCCAAGCTAATATGCACTGGCTTATGGTGAATGGCTATACTTTAGCAACTGAAGATACTTTCCCTTTCCTGAGCCTGCTTTGGTGGGAAGGCGGGGTATAAATCGAACTAATAAATAAAAATGAAATAAATTGATTAAGGACCAGCCTCCAGTGGCTATGCCCTTTATGGCTGAAGTTTAAATATTGCTGTCATTCTGTGCCATTGGCTGAACAGTGATTCTTTAGGGCCCAATGCAGTGGGACTTTTTTTCCTGTTTAAGGCTCAATTAAATTAATGGGACTTTCATTGAACATGGCATAATAAACCAAAATCTTTAACAGACAACAGAGTAATTTAAAGAATCAAAAGTATCAGAATTTGGAATCAGTAATCTGCCAAACAGGATGACATTTCTGCTTAGGCAAGAGAGGATGTTGTTCTAAATACAGTAAGGAATGCAAATAAAATTTATAAAATTTGAAACTTCCAAGTACAAACAGATCGTTGTTTTGGTTTTCTTGTGGGAGACATATTGCTCTTGAAATATATTTTTTCTCTCATCCAAGGGGCATCCAAAAGGTATACAAAGAAACAGAAATCACATATTTTAAGTTGTTAGCACTGGATCTTTTACATGAATCTTATCCACACAGGAGAAATACTGCACACATGGGCAATCCTAGTAGTAGTGTGTGCTATGTCCTTTCCCCCACATTTCCTGTCTACCTATCAAATCATATGGGACATCCCAGTACCAATGGGAGGAACCAAACCCCATCAATTCAATTGACCCACCCCCAACCTAAGGCAAAGCAAGCTGCCCATCTCATTTCGATGGGTGAGGTAGACTGCAGATGACACTGTGTGAAAAGCAGAAAGAAAGTGCATTACAGAAAGAAACCTTTAGAAATATGCACCCCTGACGAACGACTAAGGTAAGTGTTGCACTCAAAGGGGGATTGAAAAAATAGATACATACATGTATACATGTCCTGCACAAGTGAGCCAACTGCATTTTACTTCCAAAGGCAAACAAAGGGAGAAACATCAACCTAGCAGTCACACCAGCAAATCTGATGGGGTGTGTGTGTCACATAATTAATAAAGATACAAGCGCCTTTGGACATATGCAGATTATTCGCCACTGAAAAGTCACAACCAGCCATTTATAACCTGAGAATTGGGAGGTGGGCTTTCAGTATTGCTACTTTTTTTCCCCCCTGGCAGAGATCCTATAAGTTTAAGAACAGTCTGTCAGTCCCTGGAGTAGAAGGGACATAAGAACATAAGAAAAGCCAATGTTGGATCAGGCCAATGGCCCATCTAGTTCAACACTCTGCCTGTCACACAGTGGCAAAAAATACCAGGTGCCATCAGGAGGTCCAGCAGTGGGGCCAGGACACTAGAAGCCCTCCCACGGTTGCCCCCCCCCAAGCTCCAAGAATACAG